CTCTCTCTCTCTCTCTCTCTCTCTCTCTCTCTCTCTCTCTCTCTCTCTCTCTCCTGCTGTTTCTTTTTTTCTTCCTCGTTTTTCCCTATCCCTCTCTCTCATTCTCTCTTTTTACAATCTATGTCCCTCTTTCGTACTTCTCGCCGAGCTTTTTGCGCGCCCCGACTTTTTGCGTCGTATACGATGGCCACTCGATCGCGAGGGATGACTCGTACGACTCTGCTCGATGATACTCGTCGCGCCGACGTAATTACACAGAGACGATATAATCGGCATTTCCGGCCCGGGAGACTCTCGATAGTATCAGTCCGTATTACGATGGCAGTCACCAGAGGCCTGTCTATCGACGAGTCTCGCTGGGGTCCGTCGACGAGGTTGTCAGATAATGTGAAAGAGGAGTCGTAGGTTGCTCAAGGTGACCGTTTGTCTCGGCTAATTCGAAGGTCTCCTGGATCAGAAGAAGGGACTCGCATATCCTCTCGGTGGACAGGACCATGTTCATCCCGGACGAGAGGTTCCAGGCGATTTTCGGGGAGGCGGACACGTGGACGCTGCAGGTGAAGTACGTCCAAGCGCGCGACGAAGGCGAGTACGAGTGCCAAATCTCGACCGACCCGAAGAAGAGTCACATCATCAAGCTCAACATCGTCGGTGAGCGTCGCGGAGAACGAGTTTCAGTTCCTCCACCTCCTTCCGTTCCTCGTCCTGCTCTTCATCCCCCTTTCCCTTTCTCTCTCTCTTTCACTGTCTTCTTGCTCCTCCTCCTCTACAATCGAGAGTTCGCGATCAAACACGCCACGATAAAGCCGCGCGAGATCTAACCGCACGTGTTGCAGTGCCAAAGATCGAGATCTTGGGGGACCGTGACATGTACGTGAAGACCGGAAGTACTGTCGCGATACGATGCGTGATAAAGCAGTCCCTCGAGGGCCCGTTCTACGTCTTCTGGTACCACGAGGGCGATCGCGTGCTGAATTATCAGCTCGGCAAGATCGACATTCAAACGAAGCGAATCGATCAGGACACGGTGAGCAGCCTTGTGATCCACAACGCGAGACGGGAGGACTCGGGTAACTATACTTGCAGCCCGAGCAACCTGGACAGCGCGAGCGTGCAGCTGCACGTGCTGAACGGTGAGTGGCAGATAGGGAAACGATGTTCGTTGTTCGTTGCGTCGGAGAGTGAGAGAGGAATCAGGAATATCGGCGCGGTTGAACTTCTCCCCTTTCAAACGGTGATTAATATTGAAGCTCCTGAGATATTCAATCACAAAGTAATTTCCAAGCTGTTAAGAGCCACGCGGGATGATGGTAGTTGCGAGCGATCATGTCTGCGGTATAGGATAATAACGAATTATTGCACGTGTGGAGAAATTGTCGGTATTTTAACAGACAACAAGGTTTCTCCCTTTGCCCGAATTTGGACTTGCCGCGTGCTATTCTTCACTCGTGAGATCGTAATTCCTTCTTCGTTATTTAACGACTCTTTCAAACAATAAATAATATCTCGAACGATGAATGCAGAGAGAGAGAGAATAGTGACAAGAATTGGCGGTAACGTGAACGCGATGACGTGAACGCGAGCGATTGGTTAAATTGTCGCCGCTCGTCGTCACTCAGGCAGATGCAAACATGTCGGGCGCTTTTCCAGGGGAGCATCCCGCCGCGATACAGAGGGGCATCAGCTCGGCACCGGGCGGCTGTCCGACGCTCTGGTGGCTGGCAGGTGTGGTGACACTGTACTCGAGTCACGGCAGCCGCCAGCTCGTCCTCGCTCTTCTGCTCCTCATGGTTCTCTACTCGAAAAATCCATCTTACTTTGCGACGGAACGATAATCAGGCAAGACCGGTGGATGGTATACGCGATAATCGATTATCTCCTGCTACGAGACCCCGACTACCTCGAGAGAAGAGATCCCCGACGTTCTGCGGACCGATTTTCCCGAGATGATTAAAAATGGAAAAAAGAGTGGACGGGCGGAAGGATCACAGAGAAGAGAGAGAGAGAGAGAGAGAGAGAGAGAGAGAGAGAGAGAGAGAGAAAGAGAGAGAGAAAGAAAGAGAGGAAGGGAATGATGTAGCGCGATATAAACTGGGATCGGAGAGAAGAGAATAACGATTCCGGAGGTAGTATGTTTTTTCTCCGTGCGCGAAGTAAGGAGTTAGAGGTTCATCTCGACTATCGTCGAGATCAGCGATCCGGCCGTTAGAAATTAGGGATTAGTTAATTGTATGAATTTCTTGTTGAATTGCCGCGAGGGGGAGTTTGAGCGCGCTGGAGAGAGGGCCGTGAGACATTTTTTGGCGATGCCGTCGTGGCGTCGTCGAGAATGCAAATTCCGACCGGGCTCGAGTGACGACGATGACGACGACAACAACGACAATTACGACGACGATGACAATGACGACGACGACGACGGGTGGTCCGTGAATACGCGCGCACGATTAAGGATTCTCGGTGAAAAAAGCCGGACTAATCGATCTTGCTTTTCTTACGTGAAACTGTCCTCCAGATTAATGCCTTTTTCATCGATTTCAATCTGTACAAAACAAAATTACCGTACGAGACGTCGCTGGTAATTGTCGATGGAACTGACACCCGCGAAGGTGACTTGGAATTTGTCGCGCTCGCGGAATCGTTTCGCGAACCTCCCGTTCGTCAGCCCGGCGAAGGGTAGGAAGGGTTGCGAAGTCTCAAGAAGGTATAGGAGTGCCCTAAGAACGATCTCGATCGCGAGATCCTGTCGCGAGGGCGTTGAGTGGTTTCGTAGCGTCCGTTACTGGAACAAGAGGGCGATAACGTGACGGGGAATATATATATATACGGCAATAGAGAAGTGAGAACGCGAAATAAAGAGAAAGTTAGGTTAAGACAGAGACAGGGAGAGAGGGAGAGAGAGGGGAGGGGGTGAGACGAGAAGGCCACAGATAGACACGTCGACGAGGAGTGACGACGTTAGCCAGAGAACCGTCGTGAGGGTAGAGTGGAAGAAGCAGATTAAGGGAAAAAAAAGAAACACTTCGTCCGCGCCGCTCGGAGACAGAATTGAAACTTGTTCGATGAATTTTTCGAAATGCGATGTGATTAATTATATTCGATAGCGACCGATCAATACAGACGTGTCTATACTCGACGTCTTACCGCGCGATTTAGGATCGTCCTGAGACCGAGCGATCTCGGCCGTGTGTCGTCCCTTGGACGATTCGTCGATACGCGCGCGCCGAAGGTAACGAAAGCTCTTTAAAATTCGTCTTATCGATCAGCGGGTTGGTTCCTGGGGG